GGGTCGCGTAATCTCACATGTCTGATTTGGTTGATGAGTCTATTCTAACCTGAGATTTAACCGTCCTCGTCTGGTGAGATCTACCAACGAATCTCTTCTTCATTCACCTAAATTGACCTATATTGCCTCAAGGGTACATAGATAAATATATATATTTATGATGTGGGAAATGGTAGTTTTATTTCCAACTTGAAATGTTGAGATCTCGTTCTAGGGTTAGTCATTTTCTCATATAAGAAGTATCCGTGGCTTGAAAGTCTACATCCTTGGTATAAAGAATGATTATTTGATTTATTTCAAGCCAATCCATTCGTGTGCACATTTACAAATCTGTGTGTATGGACGTAAAAATTGGGCATTCTTGCCTGCAGCACATACGTTGTCCCAAGTTTCCAGCCAAGCCAGTGCGACAGGTGCGCGACAGTGGTTGTCTTGACGATGATCCGAGTCCAGCCGCTGATCCCGCCCTCTCCAATCCCCGCTGTTGAGCTGGAGGCTCCAGAATTCGACCATTTGTGTTGAGAGACAACCAATAGTTGAAGGTCGTAGACTTGTCAGCCTGATCCATGCTGGCTCTATTCACTTGACGACCGGATTCAAGGCTCGCAGTAGTTGTCATGGCCGTCTCTGCTGCAGTAACCATCGTTTTCAGTAAAGAAGAAGCGGCAAGTTTCTGTTGTTCAGTCTTTGCATCGTGAGGCTCGAGGTCAAGAATGGAGCTGAGAGTGGGCACAGGCCCCAGATACCGAGGCAAGTAATCGCGAACTAGGTTGGCAAGGCGAGCAGATAGCTCGGAAAACCGGCTACTTGAATGTGTCATATTTGTCCTTGAGTTATCTGAGATGTCGGGGTATTCTGCCGGAGCTACTGACTCTGAAGCCTCTTGAAGGCAATTCACATTGTCCGACCATAAGTCGAGTCCTTGTTCTGCGGACACTTTCACCTCCGAGAAGCCCACATAGTTTTCTGCCTCAAGGTTGATATCGCGAGGCCCGTAGTAATGGAAATTGTCATCGCTTGGGTTGGGTGTTGGTGGTGGAGCCGCGTGAAAAGCTGAAGCTGAGCAGTACTTTGTCGGTAGTAACAGGGCCTTAGGTGAACTGTCCGGATACTGGGAGCCTGCAGAACCTAGGGCTTTGGGCAAGCCCATCGATGGATAGATCTGACGTGAAGGCTCCGACTCCGAGTCCTCGCCATCCGGTCGAATCCAAAACGCATATGCCTTGGGGTTGTCTAGGGTCGGAGGTTCAAGCCGTCGAGGCAAGGGCATTTTCAGACAGGTAGCCAAATCTGCTATGGCATGGATGGGTATGAAACAAGTGTCAAATTCAATCAGATTTATTCAGATTGATATGAAGTTGAGAAAAAGCATGGCTGGCAAAAGATTCAGTGCTTTATGTTTTGCCTGTACCTGTCGTTAAGACGACACTGGCTCCGTCAAAGTCTTGCAGAAATTTTGCAAGAATCGCATGTCAGTTCAGTGATGATGGAGTTTATCGAGCAATTACATGAAAATGCTTTACAATGCCAGCGAATTTGTGGGTTAAGCTCCCCTAGCAGTAGTTAAGTCACTCCAAAGGAGCTAGTATGGCTACTTTCTAAATCCGAAATTACTTATTCATTTTTGAACATATTCACACGAAATATTAAGAATAGATGATTCAGACATCCACAATCCAACAACAACTGCCGTTTGGGAGAGGTCTAGACTACTGAGGTCCTGTGGCGCACTGACACCATCGGTTCTATAGTAAAATTGTAACGCGATGTATAGGACTCGGCTTGGAATCCCGGTGGGATACTAAGGAGATTTAGAAGGGACAAAACGCAATCCAGCATGGATAAACTATCTTTCAAGAAGCAAGTCTTAGAGAAGTCAAATGGCATCGTAAGACCTGCTCATAGCATTGTAAACAAAATCACATATCTGCCCTTACATTGTTCAGAGTGATCTAGGCTGATGGATACTAGAATACCTTTAATTTCCGCTATTTGGCATACATCATCAGAGCCAGAAGCCAATATTCACGAATAATCACTAAACATTTTTCATTTGGAAAAAGAGTTTCAAAACTAGCAGTAAATGAGTAAAACGAGATGCACTCACCCCATTTCATTTAAGGTGATGAAGGACTGGTAATAGTAGTGATTCATATAACTGATTTATTGGTAGTCTCGAAACTCTACTTATATATGAAAAGTAAGTAGTGTATTCGATTGTCATAGCAAAATACGTTTGCTTCATCGACAATCCCACCAAAGAATGTGATATGGGAGAAGGCCTGGCTTCCTTGAAATTCACATCTGTCATGTGACCCAAGGGCACTCGTGGCAGTGTGGCCGAGTGGTTAACGTGTCAATCACACATTCTAAAATGTCACGATTCGACTCCTGCTGGGGGTGTTGATTAGACCAGTTGATGCGAGCTCGAAACTGTAGTCCACTCCAGTCGGGGTGAGAACAACTTTTGGAAAGGCAAGGCCATGTGAAATGCAATGGAAACCTCAGTTCTACTCATTTAATTGTGGGAAAATTCTACTACCAGTCCTTTATCCCTGTAAACGCAATAGGGTGAATACATCTCATATAGGTAATTTATACAATCATTCGTTCTTCATAAAACGCGGTGACACTAGCGTTGTTATGGTAATATAAAATCTATAATTTTACAATGGTAGAGGGGAATAAATTAATGTTATAGCACAACTTACAGGCATATCAATTTGCAAAATCAAATCCCTCATGTGTGAATCTCAAGGAAGGCCAAGCATTTTCCTATATCACATTATTTGGTTGGATTGTCAATGAAGCAAAGTTATTTTTGCAATAACAATATACTACTTCCGTCTACTTGAATTGATGCTAAATACGATGTGCAGAACGTATGTGCATATTATCAGAACAACTCACTGGACAAGAGAAAGTAGGTTGCG